TTACTATTTGTATCCATGGATCAATGATCAATCCATGAATCCACCAATCCAATTGGAGTGGATCTAAATGGATTGAATTAGTTGGATATTTTAGTGGAGGGATTGTATTAAAAATTGGCACCTCTGGTGGCCACCAATTTGCTTGGTAATGTTGGTGATGACATGGGTCATCAACTTATTGAAGAATAGCTGTGATGGAGGGAAGGTAACGAGATGGGGGAGGAAGCAAGTGGGGTGGAGACTTTGATCTGCCTGTTGAGATTCGAGGCCACGATTGTTAAGTGAATGTACTTGAGGGTGCTAACCAGGATTGGTGAGGCGTTAGGGAGGGAGGGAAGTGAGTATCATAGAGCGACGATGTTCTCGGAGTCCCATTTGGCCACAGTGTAATTGGACTGTCCTATGCCAACATGCTTGTTCTGCTGCGCTTTCAAAAGGCCTCCTACTTGAGAAACAACGCTGGTAGAGGTGAGAGGATCATCCTTCACCTCCTTTCCATTCAAAACCGCCATCTTTCTTTTAGACTTCCGTATGTGGAACATCAGTCAACGAATTTCCGGGGCAGGGGCGGACCTATGTTATAGGGTGGTGTGTCAATTGACACACCTCCAAAAAAAATTTCGATAAAAAAGTAAGGTTCGTCAGTACTAAAATTCAAACACAAGAACTCTTGACACAGCTCTATAGTAGACTCATAATCATTCCATCAGATTAGGAACATATTATTGTTATAACTTTGCTAAAGAACGTATTGTATACAGAAATTTATTAATGTGTAAATAATTTCCTTATACGGAAAGTTTATTGAATCCTCCACCCAATTCCAATTTTGATTGTAATAGAACTAATATCCTTATAAAAGAAACCATATACCTATCTCGATTACAATTTATAAATGAAACCAAAAACTCTCTCACATGCACAGGACAATCCCTCTTTCTTTCTCTTCTCACACCGCCGGCAAAGTAAGCGGCTACATTTATCATGTCAAGCAAGATGAGACCTTCAAGGGACTGCGAGGAATCGATGAGGTAGCTAGGCGAATGGTGGAGACAGGAAAGGATACTACTTGGCCATTGATGTACTTTCATAGTATGGAAAGCCGTCGTGGCTCATTGTAAGAAATGAGAACTTTTATAATTTATGGATTATTTTTATTTTTTAATTTTATTATATTGAACCACCTCTCTAAGAATCCTGGGTCCGCCACTGTTCCGGGGTAATGTTGGCGGTGGCGTAGCGGACCAGAGTGTTTGCCAACAACGTTGGTCCTTTCAAGCAGGCGACGGCGGTGGTGGAAGCTACTTCAGGGTAGGAGGCTCTCCATTGGGAGGTAGAGTTGTTTTAAGGTACTACTACATTCGAATTTGGGATCTTCAGGTTCTAGACTAGTGGTATTATCACTAGGTCAAGCTCTTGTTCGTGTGTTTGGGTATCTTATGTTAGTGGGTATAATGACGTGATGGGTCGGGTAGGGGTGTGCAATGGTTCGGTCTGGTCCTGACCGATCAAACTCATGAGAACAGTAGTCCATTAGTGAAAGACATTTTAGAATCAAGAATCGGACAATCATTGCATTAGGTCCATTTGATTCGATTCGGTCCGATCAAAAAATCAGCTTGGTCCATCATTTCTTTAGTAATTGTAAAATTCATGAGAAAGAAGGACCGCGCCACATTATACTATATCATGTGCGGTCCGGTACGGACTAGACCATTGCATACTCCTAGGGCGGGTTTTAAACTTTTTGAGTTAAAGTTGGCTAATTAGGCACTTATGTTAGACCAGACCATTGTACACCCCTCAAGGGGAAAAATCCAAAACTACCACTGTTTTTAAAAAAATTACAAAAATACCACCCATTCCCAAGAATTTCCAAAAATACCACCGTTTATTAAAAACCGCTCCACTAAGGGTCGGTTAATAAAGAAACCGCACAACCAGGCTGCGGTTTACCATAGAACTGCCTGGTCAACAAGCGGTTTGCCTATTTTGACAAAAACGCTCTTCGAAAGAGCGGTTTTCATGGCTTCCCTACGACAAAACGCTTCCTCAGGGAGCGGTTACATGTCGGCATGGTAAAACGCTCCACAGAGAAGCGGTTTACCATGTCGACACATAAACCGCTCCCCCCCACCAGCGGTTTGTGCCTGGTCACCCAACATCCGACATGTCGGCATGCAGGAGGTTCAAAGGTGGGGGCTGCATGGCAGACTAAAACCTCCCCCCCCCCCCCCCCCCCCCCCCCCCCGCGCGGTTTGTAGCGTAAAATTTGCCTATAAAAGGTAGGTCCAGAAAACTCAAAATCTTCACTCCACTCCTCCTTCTTCTTCAAATTTCAGTTATACACCTTTAAATTATTTAGTTTTTGCGATTAACGTTAATTCGTAAGTTAGTTTTTTGTATTACTTTTCATTTTCCTTTGTGATTTTTATGTTAGTAACTTAATTACAGTTTTATTGCAGATGGCGTTCCAAAGGTGCACACTTGGGTTGCGGTGGAATGGTTACACGGAAGAGACCGAAAGGGTGTAAGTTACGTGGGTGGCAATTTTTATAAAATGAAGGTCCGTACGAGACCGATGCTTGAAGAGCTCCATCAAATGTGCACTCAGATTACCTGCATGGATGGCACTAGAAGAGTTGATCGTATGGTGTATCGATATCCAAACAGACATGATGGGTCGCTGTGGAATGAGGAATTCCTCCTTACTACTCAGGAGGACATTTAATTACATTTTTAGTTAAATCAAGGTAGTTTCCGAGAAATATACATTATCTAATAAACATTAATTTTAATATAACTAAAATCATTTTCGAAATTTAAGTAAAATTATTTTTTGTACACATACACATAAAATCAAATATATTATTTTGTACTTCGTATTGATTGTTTTCAATAATTTAAAGCAATGTAAGTACACTCGTAAGACTCTTCGGAGAGGTATACATCTCCTTAGAAAAATAGTCTGTTTGACAGGAAAAGGGGGATCCGAGGATCGCTTAGAACCCGATTTTTACAGGTAATGGGAGGATCATGATGATCGCTTAAGACCCCATTTCCTTAGACATGCATTTCTTTATAAAGAGTCTAAATAAGTGTTTTATTGTATTGATTTAAATTATTGAAAATAATCAATACGATTAAAAATTAAGTAATTTATTGTACAAACAAATAAATTACGTTAACAAAATAAAAATTACAAGTGATGATAAATAATATGTACCTTGTGGTCATTCCCAACGTCTCTTGAACGACGATTGAATTGATCGTATAAAATAGTCGGATCAATCAGTCCTTGATCAACATAATATCGTTGATTGTATATATCAACATCCGGCCCAACCTACGATAGCATAACAACAACATAAATCAATTAGTATATAAATTAAATAAACCATTATAACAACAACAAAAATTGGGTAAAATGAGTACGTACCGCTTGATAATCATCATAGTAAATACCCTCTTCTTGGATGAAATCAGCCATTTTTTCAGAATCCGGACAGAGATTCGACGATTTTTTAGTGAAAACCAAAGAAAAAGTTTTTTGAAGGCAGATCGGATTTTACCACAACCAACAAAACAACTACTTCCAAGGGTTTTGGTGGGGAGGGGGATGGGTAGAGTGAGGAACTTAGAGAGAGAGAGAGAGAGAGGAGAATGGGGGGTTTGGTGTGCAGAAAATGGGAGGAAGGGATGAGTTTATATAGGGACGAAACCGCGTGCTGTAGGGGCGGTTTGTTCTTTTTAGCCCATGCAACACCGCGCCTCCAGCACACGGTTAACGTTTCCCATCGCGCAAACCGCGCTTGAGGGCAACGGTTTCCCGTGGGCGACGCAGATCGCTCCGCTGGCAGGCGGTTAGGCTGTCAGATCGCCTACCCATCGTGCGGTTGCATGGGCCGCCACGTGGAGGCGCGTTTTGTCAGCTGCCCAGTGGCAAATCGCCCCTTGCCCGCGCGGTTTGACTGAGAATCGCGCCTTCGAGGCGCGGTTTATGGGGAAGAGTGGTATTTTTGGAAATTATTGGGAATGAGTGGTATTTTTGTAACAAAATTTTAAACAGTGGTAGTTTTGGATTTCCCCCCTCTAGAGTGGGTTTTAAACTTTTTGGGTTATAATTGGCTAATTAGGAACTTATATTAGCCCTATTAGCAATCATTAATGGAGAATGACAGAAGGCAATGATTAGTGAATGAACTTGAACTGTTAACTGCGGCGAATCCAGAACATAGAGAAGCACTGGGCCGCATTTCATTAGAAAATTAGAACCGTAAAAAAAATAATGATTATAGTTTTTTTGCAATTTAAATTGTACCAGATAGTATTTTAATTAAGAGAATGCATCAATAATGGAGTTTACAGAGCAATCGGCGAGAAATTCATCGCTCATTTTGTTGAGAAAATCAGTTTTCGCATGTTTCATTGTTGAAAAGGTTCTCTTCGTAGTAGTTGTTGAAATGAGCAACATCAACACTAGACAAATCAATCGACTTATCAATTTGTATTGTGTGTCTATCCCTGCATCCACCAGCTGCTCTAGTAATTTTTTAAGGGAACAAACCTCATATTTCTCTTAGTATTTTTCATTTTAAACTTTTAGAATTTTAGGTTTCATTGTTTTTTTAGACGCATAATCTTTGGGGCTGAAATTTCTAGGCTAAATTTAGAGTAGTGATTTGAATATGTTCATCTGAATCATTTTTCTAGTTATACCCAATCTTATTATAAAATAACACTGGACCGAATGCCTAAAATCAAAAAAATTATATCGACTATACTAACTACGGATCGAGAGAAGGGCTGGGCCGGGGCCTGGGGTGGCCTCATCCGCCACTGACTGTTAAACTCATTTCAGTGACCACAAATGACGATAATTTTTTTTTTAATGACAAACGTGAAACAATTTTGTAATTATAGTGACCAAACATGCAATTTACCCACTAATTGCGGTCAAGGAGAAGGCTACCGGAAAGTTAACGCATGCCAAAGTGGAGGGGAAATTAAACCCTAGAAATTTGACGATCTCCAAAGGACCAAAACCCTCTTCCCCGACTTGTACTACTGTGAACTGATTCCTGAAGCTCTACTTGGAAGCCGAAGTCCTGATCCAGCTAGTGAGTTTCTATTGTGATTCCGCTCTTTAGCTTTCCCCGTCCCGAGCATTCTACTTTCAGTTTTCCCCTGCAGCGAACAGCACGAATGCGAGATCCGCGATCTCAAATCAAATTCGTTTTCTGTGCATTGCTATTCAGCCTCTTGACTGCATGCATATGGGGTTGTGAACTTTTGTTTTCCTATTTGTTGTTCGTTAGCTAGATTCTAGTTTTCCTTTCAGTTTACTGTCGATGATCTTTCTAGTCCTCTGTTTCTGTTGTTGCTGAATATCAGAGTCTTTTTCCCCTTAATTTATTGAATGGGTTTGGGAAGTTACACATACTGAATCAGAATTCCCTTGTATTGGATATCCTGAAGAGTCTAAAAGCTAGGTAAACCATCATTATCATGGCATTAGCTCGACATACCATTGTTTTCATCTTCTTCTTCTTTTCTAATCTTGTTTTTGTGGTTTGACCATTTCTCGGATTATACAGATAAAAGTGCTGTGAAGGATTCTATTTGAATTCTGGTAGCTAAGCTGGCGAAAGGTTTTGTTTGTTTGTTTTACAGACAGCTGGACTTTTATGCCCCCCCGGGATTGGCAGTCGTAATATTAACGAGGCATGTCTGTGAATCCTAATGGTCCAATGGCTTATGGGGATGAGGATGTTTCTTCAGGTTCTGCTGATGGTGCAAACACGATGGATGGACACAACAAGCGGCCATCTGGGACACCTGCTGGTTCTGGTCGTAAGAGAGGTCGCAAGGCCACTGGTGATGCTATTGTGGATGCCATGCTTGAAATCGCTGCAGCTTCGAAATTGCGGGCAGCTGCCATCATGAAGAGTGAGGATCAATTTTCAATTAGCAAATGTATCAAAGTATTAGATGAGATGCAGGGTGTTGATCCACAGGTTTACTTTTTTGCCTTGGATATGTTTGAGAACCCTAATGCTCGGGAGACTTTCATATCTCTCATGAGCGAGAGACGGCTGCCATGGTTGCAGGGAAAGTATAGTGCCAGCTCTAAATGAACAACTTAGGCATCTGTCATAGGAGTAGTTCATTTCTTTCAGCTCCAAAGTGTGGTTACAAACCATAGGCGGACCCCTTTCTTGTAACTAACTGAGACTTAAACGGAAAGGATCTTTAATTTGTTGTTACCTTATGCATCAAGTTAATTGTCACGTGGTTTCGTGATTTGCCATTTCCCTTTTTCTGCTGGGCATGAACGAAAAGCATACTTTGCACAGTTCGGTGAGAGTTATCTTTTTGAATGAATCTTTTTGCTGGCAATTGTTATGCACTGAAGAGTTGGTTCTCTTTTAAAAACTATGTATTTCCATTTCTTGTATTATGGTGTGCTTCCCACTGTATTTTTAATTCAGTTTCTACAGATACTTGGGCAAACATGGATGACATTGACTTGCAACTCGACGAGATGGAATTAGCTGCAGCAGCTGCTGGATATTACTATTTTAACAGTTTAACTAGGCAACCTCCGCTTGCTTCGTCCAATGGCAAAGGTAGCTTTATGACTCAAGTACTAGATGGTCCTCATGAATTATGCAGGGAGATGTTTCGGATGGATAAACATGTCTTTCACAAGTTATGTAGCATCCTTCGGCAGAGAGGTTTATTGCGTGATACGTGTGGTGTTATGATAGAGGAACAACTGGCAATTTTCTTGAACATCATAGGTCATAATGAGCGCAACCGAGTAATTCAAGAAAGGTTTCAGCATTCAGGCGAAACCATAAGCCGTTATTTCAATAATGTGCTAAAGTCGATCAAATCACTTTCACGCGAATTCTTACAGCCAGCACCTGAGACTACTTCCCCTGAAATTCTTTGCAGCAGGAGATTGCATCCATATTTCAAGGTTTGTTTATGATTTGCCTGCAAACTTTTTTTTTTAAAGCTATTCCTCCTCCCCTCTGGTTCTTCTGTATGCATGCATGACAATAAGCGACTTACTTTCAAGTTCTTTTAATCATTCAGAATTGTATTGGGGTCATAGATGGCATGCACATTCCTGCACATGTACCAGCCAAAGACCAATCTCGATTTCGCAATAAGAAAGGATTCTTATCACAAAATGTACTTGCTGCCTGTACATTCGACCTGCAATTCATCTTCATTTACCCAGGTTGGGAAGGGTCTGCTGCGGATTCACGTGTATTAAGAGCAGTCCTTGATGATCCTAATCAGAATTTCCCTCATACTCCCGAAGGTTAGTTATCTCTCTGTTCTCTATTATTGTAGGAAATGCGGTGTTTCATGGTGGTCTTGAGAGTCTAGAAGACTAGAACTGGGTGTTTGAAGTTCTTATTTTATTTTATTTCTATGTGATCAGGAAAATACTATCTGGTGGACAATGGGTACATAAACATGGAAGGATTTATTGCGCCATATCCAGGAGTTCGCTATCACCTTCATGAATTTAGGGGTGCTAATAAGCTACCTAGAACTGCAAGGGAACTATTTAATCATCGGCATTCATATCTTAGAAATGCCATCCAGAAGTCATTCGACACTCTTAAAAGGAGATTTCCCATACTCAAAGTTGCAACACAGTATGGGTTTCAGATTCAAAGGGATATAGTCATTGCTGCCTGTGTGTTGCACAATTTTGTAAGACGTGAGGAAAGAAACGATTGGTTGTTTGCCAGTGTTGAAGCAGTTGCTGCAGTGGAAGAAGAAACTTCCGACTTCGATGCTCAGCCTGATATTATGCAGTTAGGTTCCTCTGTACAGGAGGAAATCGCCTTCTCACTGAGAGAATCAATGGCAGCTGCAATGTGGAATGACTTCGTAATCACATGGGATGAATGGTGATTGGTACCCTTGGCGTCCATGTTCAGACCTGGTAAAACAACTGCTTTTGAGCTCAACATGGCTGAGTTGCTGCAGGACATTTGGCAATTGTCCTCAACATTTCCGTTAAGGAAGAGGAAATCGGTTTCCGGAAATGATTGTAACTTGATGGTTTCTCCTTTGAATGATATTTAATTTTATTTAGGAATAATAGCTTTTATACCCCTGCAAATTCGCGTACATGTTCCTCTAATTTATTTTTAGGGTTAATAGCATTTTATACCCCTTTATTATAACGAATTAACAAACGTACCCTTGTATTATATTTTCGAACAAACATACCCTTCTACTATCGAAACTTAACAGGAAAACCCTTCCATCCAAAAATCCGCTTACTAACCGTTAAATGGAGAGAAAAATTACCGTATTACCCCTTTTCTTATACTGAAATTTATTCTTTAACCTTTCTTTTTCCTGTAAAAACAAAACTTAACCTAATTCTTATCCTTCTCCCTTCTATCGTCGAACACTCCCCTTCTTCATTCACTCCGCCATCCACCGTCGTTCGTGGTCAGCTTCAACAAAACCCGCCCCAACTATATACTCCGCTGGCGATCAACTCCACCTCCGACGCCAGCCAGTCATCGGCACCCAAATGCTCCTCTGCAGCGGCAGGAGAGGAATTCGACGAGGGCGTACTTCGACGGCAGCGGCAAGATTAGAGTTCAAAAGTTGCAGAAATATGTGGGTGAGAATGAAACTTCTCAATTATTCGCCAATTGACCCTCTGATCACGCGGTGTTGACTTCTGCTAATAGAGTAATCTAACTCCAATGCGTTTCTCCTTTTAAGAAATAAGCAATAGCAAAGTTCATTCTAGTGGTGTATGGGTTGAGGAATTTTGTGGATATTGGTATATAATCCAGTAGCATGTAGTGACAGAAGAGGGGTTTGGGGAGCGGAGGAGCAGTTGGGGGTTTATTTGGCGGAATAAGGTGTACTAGGGGGTTCGTACTTCGGTTGTGCTCTGATCGGCCGGCGTTGAAGTACAGTGTAAGTTTTTCTTTTGACAGGGACAAAATGGTTAAAAATGAATTTTAATATAAGTCAGGGGTAATTGGGTAATTTCCAACCCATTTAACGGTTAATAAACAGATTTTTGGATGGAAGGGTATTTTTGTTAAGTTTCGATAGTAGAAGGGTACGTTTGTGCGAAAATATAATACAAGGGTACGTTTGTTAATTTGTCATAATAGAGGGGCATAAAATGCTATTAACCCTTATTTTTATAGTACATGTTGCTCTAATATGCTATTAACCCTTATTTTTATAGTACAGTAACCTTGTGATGAGTAACCATGCATAACCCAATCATCATTCACCATATCAGTGTTCCTCATCTCTCTAAGAAAGCATTTAATTTCTCTCCTTAAATCTTTAACGAACAATTTCTCACTCGTTTTAAGTCGTAATTTAATTTTTTTGAACAGTTAGATCAGATTAATTGTACTCTTCAAAATGATATCCACTTTGATAAATTTTTGGAACAAAAAAAATTGAGTCATTTTTTATTAGTCTATATACCATATGGTATTGACTGGTATTGAAATAAGAGCATATCATATGAGTACCATGGTGGTTGAATACATGATAATAGGAGTATACTAACAGTCATTTATGACTTTTAACATTGTGTACCACAAGATACCATCTCGTACCATGGTGGTATTGTTTGGTATTTTTTTGGTCCTGTATTTTGTTCACCCAGAAATTTTTAGATCTAATAGATCATGATGAACTCATTCTTTTTGTGCAAAATTTTTAAAAACGACTTAAAAACATGGTCCTTGAAAACGTACCGTACCGGCGGTTCAACAACAAAATACCAGTATCGGAGGCTAAACCGATAGGTGGAATTTAACGGTCTAACGGTTAAACTAGGGTTAAACCACGATTTTATCATAAAATATCATAACACTGACTTTTTCGGTACGATATCTGGTACAGTTTCATGGACCATGCTTTAAAACGAAGAAGATATCATATGGTATGCAGTTGGTAACGAGAGGGAAAAAAATTTCTCAAAAAATATTGAAAATGGATATCATTTGTAGGCACAATGACTCGTTCCATCTGTGCAAAAAAATTGAAATTCGAGTTAAAATGAAGAAGATATGAGCCAATTTAGAAAACAAGGGAAAATAAAAATGTCTTAATTCTCCACCCTTAGATCTGGATTTTCTGAATCAAGGGTCCAGATTTAGTTATGCACCTTATCTAGAGCGAGTGAAAATGGGTTTTCAGACTTCCCGTTGCCCTTCCTCACAAGTATGTCAATTTCATGACCCGTGCTACCCGACTCACGATCTATTTGGGGCGGGTATTATCCGATCCATAGTAGTTTGGATTGGGTTATGTGTATTGCTTTTATCTTTTCTTCAATTAGTTAGATTCAATTGTCCATTCTATCATTACTATTTTTCATTCATAAAGTATTTTCCCTTCGTTTTTATCATAAAATGTAAAATTTTGCATATTTTTTTTTTCAAATAACATGTAAGAGTGGATCGACTCGCCCCAACCTGCGGTAACGTGAGGTGAGACATGGATATTGAGATACCCGTCCCGCCCTGCTCGATTGCCATCACTAGGCGAGACCCAAGCATTGGAGGTGAATGATCTATTCATGACATTTAATATGACTTGCCCTGTTACTATCTCAAAGTAATACAATCCCTTGATTTAATATGACTTGCCTTAATAGTGGGGCCCTTCTAATCCTCCCTGAATCCTAGTCTCGGAAAGTGGCTTACTTATGATGGATGGATGATGTCTTACTAGAGATTTTACCTAATTATAGATGGGAACCATTAATATAGCAAGTGAGAATGAGTTTTTGAACTTCCCCATACCCTTCCTCAAGGGTTATGGCAATTTCTTACATGACTCGTGCAACTCGACCTGCCCCGATCTAATTAGGGCGATATTATCCGACCCGTAGTAGTGTAGGGCAGGACATGGCTATAACTTTTGACATGCCCCGCATCCAATGTCCGCCCCGTTCCCGACCTTTTTCTATCATGATATGCATCGGTATCTACATGTATTGCTCCTTGACTCGCTAAAACACAACTCCTAACAGTGGCCAAGTGTAACCAATGAAAGGGACTGCAGTATAGTGGCTCAAGTAATAAATATCGAATCCACGGGTCTCTAGAGTTACTATTACTCAGCTTCAGTTCATTATCTAGCAAACCAGATTAAGATGAAAGAACTAAAACTACTCTAGCAAACTACAGTTAAAGTTAATCTAATTACAGGTTGGGAACTCACTTAGGTATGATTCCCCCTAGCCACTAGCCAGATTAACGATTGATGATCTCTAACTTGTTTCACTTTCATTCACAATGCGGAGAATCCTTGACTAGACCTTGAGTCTCGACTAAAGGAACAAGGCCCTCTTGAGTCAATTGCCTAGAGGGACGTATCCTTCTCTAGAACAATCGATCAAGGCGTTCTGAACTAGACTCCCTCTATCGAATGAGGTTCTCAATCGATACAAAGCAGTGAATCAACCCTCGACTAAAGCAATCGATCCACTACTATCAATCTATGGTGCTCTATTGACCTAATCAGGTATTCGCTCTCATAGGATCAAAGCAGAATCAATAATCTCGACTAAAGCATAATTGAATCTTGAAAACATGCATAGATTGAATATGAACTCAAGATTATCAAGTCAAAGTACTCATACAATCATCCAATCAAACATACATAGCTAGGGTTCCTCAAAACCTAAGTGAAGGGAAGTTACTCCATAGAGAAGAGAGAGACTGCAGTAAGAATCTTCAGATGATCAGTCTTCAAGTCCGGGCTTGTTCCTCAAGCTTCCAAGGCGAAGAAATCCTCCAATTCCACTCTTAGAATGCCCTCAAATCGCCCTCTCTTTCTTTGGTTCGTCCCTTGGGTGTTTGGGATCCAAAACCCAGCTCTCCCTCTCCTTTGGCTCGAATTTGGGTTAAAAAACCCGATTCTGGGCAAAACACGGTCGAGGGCACGGCCGTGCTTTGCCTCAGCCCGCCCGTGTTTTCAGCTCGAGTTGGCCAAACTCAAATCAGCTCTCGGCAGTAAAAACACGGTCACAGAACACGGCCGTGTTCTGAAGGCCTACTGCCCGTGTTTTCACTGCCGAGCCTGTTCAATGCTTCGTTTCTCCCTCGTCCGGACTCCGAATCAGTCGCCGTTTGATCCCAGACGCTCGTAGTCTCGTCCTCTTTCATTTCATAACAAGCTTGCATGATTCTTTGTTCATGAAGTGAGGTAGAAATCCATTCTTCTTCAGGTCATGCCCGAGTTTCTTCTCCCGAATTGTCAATTGATCTCTGATTGACTTGAACTTTGCGCCTATGCTTCACTTTATGTGCTAGGACCTGAAATATGACAAAGGAACACAACCTAGCGTAAAATAGGCCAAAGATGTGATAATTAAAGCTCAAACGATCAAGAAACACAGGGGAAAACATGTGCAAATATCGAGTCATCAAATCCCCCCACACTTAACCGTTTGCTTGTCCCCAAGCAAACCTAACTCAAACCAATGCAGCTCTCCAGACCTCTATAGCAACAAACAACCCCGATCGTCGGTAGAGGACTTTCTAGATCATAAAGCAGCTTACGAGGTCAACTGGTCTTCAAAGACGTCCCCTATCTTTCTCAATGCGAGTACTAGACTCAAGCCAGGATCATGAGAAGAAGTAGAAGTAAGACAGTCAGTTCATGGATAAAGGGACTCACACCATTCAAAACTAAGGACTCGTTGTACCGGGGTGCTCTTTCACTTCATTTCACCGTTGGAACCCCTTTTTCACTTTCATTTTACTTACTTTTTTTCCTTTTTATTCACTTAGCGGGGGTTCCAACTGCAGTCTTTTGCACGGTCGACCCTTATTAGTCGAGCAAGAGCAATTTCTGTACATCTGGCGCTCGCCAGAGTATTTCTTTTAACTCCTTTTCCTCAACTCGTGCGGAGGGTCAATGAAATTAAGGGGGGTCGGAAGCTCTATCCGTGCCCTTAAAAACACATCCTCAAGTAGGCAAACCGTTCAACGGGTGAAAATTTTACTTGTACTAGAGACAGCTTAGCTTCACCTTGTAGGAGTACCCCACTAAGGATCACTAAAATCTCTTCCAAAACCCGATTTTGTGCAATGAAGGGTGCCACACACGTTGGGCTTACCCCATGTTTAAGATTTCAATGATTTCG